TAACAATTTTAGAGGGTCAATTTGTTAAAAATTTCATATAAGGTCTTCTCGGGTTAAAATTTGATTTGCAAATGAGTCCTTGGTGAAAAATGAATTTTAAAAAAATTTGGAGGACTTTGTAGCAAAAAATCAAAACATGAAAGTTGTCACACACAGAGAATTCTAATTACATAAAAATTTTCACGCTGTTTTGATAAGGTTTGTTATTTTTCCCGCCATTATTTTGAAATCCCTAACAGAGCCAGGTCCATATTGTCACCGAATGTAAATTTGTCATTTTCGTGAAAATCGGCGGGGAATCAGAAAAAATGGCCTTCTTGACTTTTGATCCTCATGACATAAGCTTTCTAATGACACCTAAATCACTTCATTTATACATCATTAGATGGATTAATCACATCTGAACAGAAGTAATCCGAATTAGAAAATAACTGAATAAGTGGTCTCCTTATGAAGCCCACTTCCCATTGCTTGATTGGTTGAGAAATAAGGCCCATGGACCTGAATTCATGTTTATTTCATTGCTATGCATGTGCTTGCTAGATGTATGTTAGGCCCGATGTATGTTCGGCGGGTCGCCCATTATGTTCACTTCAAACCCGACTTTAGGGGTTAATCGATATGAATTACCGTTTTGTGAATGTAAATAGTAGCCCGTTATCATTAACCATTAATCAAATAATATTAAATGATTAGGAGGGTGGGTGAATCGAAATGCATGTAAAGCAAAGGTCCACCCCGAAGCCGGTATTTGATTAGTGAATTATTTGCGCCATTGCTTTTCTTTGGTTGTTCCTTTGTGCATTGTTTGTCGTGAATGTATGTTGTGAATCTAAACGCCGACACTCGAGAGGCAGTCTATGGAGGGGATAATTCAAAATTGTAAAAGACCAAGGTGATAGACCGATGTCCAATCCGGTCTCAATTTGTATTCACTTGACGGTGGCGATAGACCGATGTCTGATCCGGTTTCAATTTGTATTCAATTCATTCGTCCTCGATCATGTCTCGGGTTTTCAATTTGTGTTGTAATAAACACCCGACGAGTTGCTAGTTTTACTTTCTCGCACTTAGAATTAGTTTGTCTTTTCAATACTTTGAGTATTTACCTTACGAAATGTCTTTCAATACAATTGATTGTTTCTTTCTTTTTCTAGACTAAGATGGGATTAGTTTAGAATCTTAAATGAAAATATAAAAATAAGATGCATGATCACTTAGTGGACTAAGGCTTTGACAAGAAAATGGTAAAAAATAAATGCATAACGACTTAGATAACAACCATGATAAGTTTAGCAGTACCGAAAGGGCATTAATAGAAATATTAACGTAAGCTAGTCCCCGAACTCATGATCTCTGGTTTTCGGAGAAACCGAAATGAAACTCCGACGTTTCGGTTCGGTATTCTAGCCGACCCCCAACCTAGGCTAGTGGCGACTCCTAAAAAAGATAAAATCGATCCGCTGTCACCCGAGGTATGGATTTAGGGAAAAGCCACATTCATGATTAATGGACCATACGGATGACCAAAAGATCGATGCTTCGGTAAGTCGTCTTTTATGATATGCCAAATGGACCGTATGGATGACTAAAAGATTGACGCTTTGGTAAGTCGTCTTTTATGATGTGCCATGCGGACCGTATGGATGACTAAAAGGTCGATGCTTTGGTAAAGCTATCTTTTATGATGTGCCATGTGAACCGTTTCATGAACACTTTTCTCTAAACCTGCCTTATTGAGTTCGGCCCTCGAGAGGTAGGTCGCGACAACAGCGATCCCCATGAGTTACGTTCAAATTGAGCCCAATTTCTTGCTAAAAACATTAATCGACCACGAACTAAGCTATAATCAAAGGTGTTCGCTAAAAACCCTAATCTAAAACTATGTTAACTAAATAAAACTAAGCTACATCTAGCACTAAAATAAAACAACCTATTTAAGACCTGCTTCTAAGCTATTTTCTGATTTTTTTTAAAAAAATTGAATTTTTTTTATTTCCCGAAAATAGGGACTCGGACCCCTTGTGCCGGATCCGAACATGGGCCAACTCTAGTCTCACGGGTCTCGGATCTGGGCTTAAGACACCACAGGATTCCTACATCGAGCCCACAAAACGGGAAAACGCAGACATGAGAAAGTCTGTTTCCTAGGAAATGAGCTTTAATGCGAACGATGAACGGATTTATATAGTTTACACAATCAGAGCAACGAATCAATAGAGAACGCAAGGTGATTTAGGCCAGATCCGATACCACACACGTGCTTATGTGGTTCAGACATTTTATCAAACACGTGGTAGGCAGCTCGGTCACAGAGACTACGTGCAAAGTTGAAGCCACGACTCTTTTCAAATCTCCACAATCGGCAATATTATGAGCTTGGATAATCATAATAGATCACATAATAATCGATTTCCAAATGAACGCCGGTGCGGATTTCGGACTCTCTCATTTCATCATCATTTTTTGCAACCACAACCGAGGATAGAGCATGTTAGAATCGACCAATCGAAGGATGCTTACCTGCAGTGACTTACGTTCGGACCTGAGCAAAATGTCAACAGAAGCCGTTTCGCAGAATAGAACCAGCGAAAAAGACAGAGATCCGGTGCGCAAAGGTGAAGACAACCAACAACGGCCACAGGTAGCGGCGAAAGGCGGTCTTCGTGATGACCTCTTAGGGAGACAAGGAACTCTGAAGCCTGACTATGAGACAGTGCCTCCAGTGCGATGCGAGACGAATGAGTATGTCCATAGCTCGATTCAGGGCTATCCTTGAAAACGAAGCACAAGAATCAGCGTAGAAAATCTGCATACGTAAGCAGTTCAAAAACTCACTCGGAAATGAAACAACCCGATCATGATGAAGTAGATGATTAGAAACACCACGCCAGAGAGTTACAGAATCCAACGACAGAATCACGCCATGCAGGTATTCTAGCCATGATCGACTCCGGCTTGAACGAGATGGGGAAGCTCCGGCTCCAAAGGCTGGAGGAGCTGGCTGGTACGAATCAGTGGAGATGGAAGATCATAGAATCAACAATGAATATCCTCCCGCAAATCGCGGAATAAGAGCTTCGGGCATGTGAGAAGACATGTGAGCCATGAAATACAGTACCAAGAACCAGAAAAGCCTCCGCATTTTAACACAAATTATTCTACTACTGCTACTACTATTATTATTATTCTCTATTTCGTATTTTTATATTTTTATAAAACCTAGTGCTTCAACGGTTAACAAAATCAGGTGTTGACGGAGAGTTCGGTGAAGACTGATGAAGATCTTGATAAGAGGAAAACAAGTCACATATGACACAAAAATTATTAGGACTCGGATGGTACCATGGTCGATCTGTCATCAACATTGAATCTTTGAAAGCTGATATTGAGGTCATTGGATGATCGATCGCAAATCATTTCTCATGGTTTAACCGTGGACAACATCAACAGAATAATAATTACGTGCACGTGTTGATATCGAGTAATAAAGAGCCCTAGATTGTGCAGATATGGAGTCTTGGAGCCCTGAGCTTATGCAAGGCTGAGGAAACCACTGCAGAAAGAACTAAGAATGTGTCACAGAATAATTGGCAATTTTTCAGAGGAACAACGGATGTAACAGCCCCAACAGAATCCATTTTAAGAAAACCTTGCTATTGCTGCTGGAACGGATTGTGTGGGCAATTCTGACCTCAGCAACTACTCCAATCAACTCACAGCGGCTCCTTGCTTCACAAAAGAATTTCCAACGGATAGATTGGGGATGTCCGTAGAAAGAGGATCAAAGAACTTGATAAGGGTAGAGAGGAAAATAGAGAAATACTAGGGCTATGTAGTGTTCTTACTGTTTTGTAATCTTGTTAAAGGCAAGTGGAGAAGAGTGATTGTAGTACTCGTGTCCCGATTGTAACTTGGCTAGAAAATTAATATTGAAATCTTGCTAGTGTAGAGGCTGTTACCTTAGAAAGAGAACGTGGGCTTGGGCATAAAACTGAATCTCTATAAATTCTTATGCAATCATCTCTATCTCCTCACTATTGTCATCATTAGTTCAATATTAGCCATATCTGCTTCCTAGCAACACTTGCACCTATCACCCTTGATTTGCCACTGATCATTGTCAAAGTGCTATTCATTATCTTCCCTGATAAAATTTGTTTAAAATTTGAAAAAAACCTATTCACCTCCATCTATGTTTAAAATTTGTTAGCCCCGACGGTTTTTTTTTTTAAATTTCTTTATCTTCATTGTGTTTTTATATTTTATTGTTTCATTTTGTTATTTGGGAATTTATGCATGGCCATACGAATTCGCATGTTTAGGAATAAAAATCGAAAAGTATTGCATGAAACAACTTTTATTAAAAGAGAAAAGGAACTGATAACAAGCATTAGGTCAAACTAGTATAACTAAGTCCTTGAATCATAAATCTCTTGTTCGCAAAAGTAAGGCAACTTCCATTGGCTTACTCAACTCCCAACCAACCTAGAATAAGCTAGTGACAACTCTAGTCTCATTCGATTAATAATAAACAAGAGACTAAGTTATGATCATTAGGGCTCAGGAGAGCTCTTGCAAAGCATAAGCGCCACCTTGTAAAAGGGTTATACATGCCAATTTAACAATCTGTTAAACTCCTTAGTGGTCACCTCGAGAAAGTCGCAACATGAGTTCAGGTGATGAGCGCGCACAATATGTTTTCAACCCTGAATTTGTTTGGAGTCCTTCGATTATGAATTGTTTTTAATTTTAACTTCGATGGAGCATGAAAGGACAACGAAAGGATGGTAGATTTTGCTTGGAATCAATTGATAACAGATAACAAACCATCAAAGAAGATGCATATACCTTACTAAATCCTGGGGATCAAATGGAAGTTTAAACATGAAGAGATGAAGAAATTTATATGAAGCAGATAATATCTGAAACCAAATCTCGAAGTAACACTTACAATTCAAACTTATTATCAAAACATATACCGAAAGTAGAAATTCATATTGCATTTTGGAGCAATGCAGAGGAAGCTTAATGAGAGGATTGTATAGAAGAGGCAGTAAACGATTAATGCTGAGAGTCTTCGGTGCCTCTAGTTGAGGTGGCATGGGACGAAACGATTGATGCGATAGAGAATGCTGACAGAGGCGCCAGGTATGTAGGGACCGGCAATTTTGATGGGAGAACGGGTGGCGGAGCGTTAAAGTTGAGAACGCTAAACGCTTCTCTTATGGAAGGACGGGTAGTGTAGTCCGGATGAGCACACCACAGCCCTACAACCATCAAGCACTCCAGTTGCTTTCCATCAAAATCAGTGCCAAGTTTTGAATCCGCCGCATCAAGTAGCCTTGCGATTCCATATAGCTCCCAAACCCAGTCCACAAGCCGAACTTGGCCTTCCACGGCCCATGGCTGGATGACTTTTCTTCCACAAGCTATTTCTAATAAAACGACTCCAAAGCTGTAGACATCCGATTCCTTGCTGGCCTTACCCGTATAAACGCATTCAGGAGCCATATAGCCCATGGTTCCAGCCAGAATAGTCGTTTGTAACCCTTTGGCATGGTCAACCAACCTAGCCAAACCGAAGTCCCCTATTTTAGCATTAAAATCAGAATCGAGCATGATATTGCTGGACTTTATATCCCTGTGTACAACGCATTGTTCCCATTCTTCATGGAGGTAAAGCAATGCCGAGGCTATGCCTTGTGCGATTTTGTATCGCTTCTCCCATGGCAAGAAAGATCGTTCTTTGAATAGATGAGAATCAAGGCTACCATTGCGCATGAACTCATATATAAGGAGGAGTTGCTTTTTTTCACGACACCACCCAATGAGTTGGACTAAGTTTCTGTGTCGGAGCCGGCTTATGGTCTTCACTTCGGTGGCATACTCCTTTATCCCTTGTCTTGACCCTGGGCTAATTTTCTTGATTGCGACACTAGCATTCATGCTGGTTAAGTAACCTTCGTACACTCTTCCAAAGCCCCCTTCCCCAAGCAACCGTTCCACTGCGAAATTATCGGTTGCTGCGACCAAGTCCTTGTAGGAAAATTTCTTGGGCCCCGACAAGTGCCCGAATTCGTCTTCGACTGCTGCATCATCTTCTTCTCCACTCGTGTAAGTTCTCTTTTTCTTCGAATTCGAACGGTGACGAAACCAAATGAAAGCTAGAGCAAGAATGAGCAAAATTAAAGAACCTGAGCCTAAGATAGACCATAGCCATATCTTGCTCTTTTTAGCATCACCATTTGTTGGAGTCGGAGATGGAATTGGAATATCCGTACCATTTGTTGGAATCGGAATATTTGTTTCAGCCACTTGCACAGTAGAGCTGAATTCCCATGCCTCAATAGTCTGCAACACGAAAAGTCCACCCGTGGCAGCCGAGAAACCGAAAGTCACCCACTCTGGCAAATACTCAATCAAGTTGACTCCGTAATCGATAGCAGAGGAATTTATGTCAGTACCGGTGGCTTCGGCATCTATCATTAGAACGCTCAAGTTCTGCGTGCTAGAATTGTACGTAATCGTAGCTTTGATCCGCCCACCGCTCATGATTTTATCATTGAACCAATCGACGCAGCTATAGTTCACGGAATTTAGATTATTCACGTCTATACCGACATGTGCAACTTGTGCACAATTCGGGTCAAACTCGTTGTAGAAAGTGTCGAACTCAACGGCTACAAACCATGTAGAAGAGTTGGAAAGGTCACGATCTGGATCCATAATAGCCAGGCCGCCTCCGATTGAGTTGGGCGAGAGTTGAGACCCACTGGGGACAAGAAAGAAGGTCATTCCATCGGCGAATCTCGTGTGTCCTTGAGAATTGATGACGAAGGTGAATTGGGTGGTGAAATCCGCCACGTTCCCGGTCGCCTTATCCCAAAGGCGCATCGGCTCGCGGTACGTGGCCCAACCCACGCTCTGATGAGTGTTGCTGGCTCGATACTGCGCAATATGGATGGAGTCTTTTGAAACCGACGCATCGCCTTGGCGTCGAATGATACTATCATTGAAAGGCGGGAAGCTGAAGTCGATCCTCTCTGACGATGCCAAAGCCGTGAAGGCAATGGCTAAAGAGAGAATCAAGACTAGTAAGAGTGATCGAAGTTCTCTGGTCTCGAAACTCATGATATCTGCGGAACCGTGAAGTGCCGTGCTCGTTGAGGTTTTCTACGCTGCCCTTGAAATCTGGGATTGAGCACAGCTCTTTGGTGTCCGTAGCGTGTTCCAATGACTTTTCTTTGGTTGAAGAAATTGCAAATCCCTTTAACCACCATAGTCCACACGCGCTTCCACGACGACTAGTCTCTTGACTTGAAAAAACAAAAAAGAAGAAAAGAAAAGGAAAACGATTGAAATGATGGCCCGCGCTGCCCCACTCCACTCATTTTTTCAGATTTTTTTCTCTCTCCTCTCACCGCCTGTTCGTTTTCTTCGTTACTCACACGTAAAATAAATGAACTGATTTGACGTGATTTTGCAAATTTTCTTTAAAAATTTTCTGACCCTTTTTCTTTTATTCCCCCTTTTCTTTTTCTTTTTCTTTTTCGTTTCTTTTCTTTTGCACGCCATTATTCATCTCCTTCCCTATGTCTCATCTCCTTCTTCCACTTCATTGCCAAGAAGACATCACTGTTCATCTTCCCTTTTTTTATGTGGCCACAGGTCGCGGCCCTCGCCGATACCCGCAATCTCCGTCTCTCCTCTATAATCGGTTCCATTTTTCCCGCGAGCAAAGTAATAAAATCTCACTCGTCTCATATCGTCAAATCGCAGATAACATTGCCGCAACAATCTGCAAAGAACAATCCGATTCTTCTGCCAACCCCTCGAATCGTGCAGTTTCACTGATACTCCTTCACTTCAATTATCACGATTCGTATACGTTAGAGAAGCTGAAGAGAGAGATGACCCCTTCCCACTTCCTCACTCCTCGGTGACAAGAAACGGTCTCCAAAAACGGAGTTCAAAGAAGCCATAATGAAGCTGACCCCCCAAAGAAGAGGTGGCCCCAAGCTCAACAGGTGGCACGATCATCTCCTTTCGCAGGTCGCCCAAACGCAACTAGCCGAAAACCGACCATCACAGTCGAGAAGCCATGACCGATGAGTTCCTGTGCCCTGTTTCGTGGTCTCTCATGGCCAACCCAAATCTGGGCAAGGGTCACCGGCCGTCACCGAAATTCCGGTGAAGCCCCACCGATCGTCTCCGGCGATGATGGGGCGGCATAAAAATGGAGCAGTAAGGAAAATGAATAAAAGAAAAAACATCAAAACAACAAAAGTTTGAAAAAAAAGGAACGAAGATCGAGACCATTAACAGTAAAAATAAAAAAAAATCAAGAGTTAATATCATAAAAAATTACAAACTGTTATATTTGTGACTAATTTACTCAAAATTAATTTTTTTACCATAAAAAATCTCAAACTGATATACCTGTAACAAATTTATCATAAATTAATTTTTAACCACCAAAAACTCTAAGTTAATACACCTGTGATAAATTTACCTTTCGTTAGTTTCCATCAAATTTACCATTAAATTTACTGAACTAGATGACACATGGTGACATGGCAAGTCCACGTGGAAATCCATAGAGTAAATACCATGAAAAACCTCAAACTTGTATACCTGTGACAAATTGAAAGTATTAACTTTATGGATTTTCATGTGGACTTGCCACATCACCGTACAACGTCACCATGTGTCATCCACGTCATCAAATTTAACGGATACTAACGGAGGATAAATTTGTCACAGGTATAACAGCTTGGGGTTTTTTATGGTCAAAAAATTAGTTTAAAGTAAATTTATCACAAGTGTACCAATTTGGAGTTTTTGGTGGTCAAAAAATTATTTTGAAGTAAATATGTCATAGGAGTACCAGTTTTGGATTTTTCTTGGTCAAAAAAATAGTTCTGGATAAATTTATCACAAGTATACCAGTTTTTATTTTTCATGGTATTAACTCAAAAATCAAACAACTTATAGAAGATCGCTCTCTTTATTCTCAAAACGACGTCGTTTTAAGAAATTCTATAAGTTCTTACAAAAAATAGAGAGATACCAATTTAGGTTTTTTTGTAAGATAAAAATTAGTTTGGAAAAAATATATTTTAGAGATGTCAGTTTGGAATTTTTAGTGGTATTAGCATGATCTTAACAATGAAGGAATAACAAATGTTAGCCGAATTGATTCAATCTGAATGCATTCATGAAATTAACCCTAAATTTTTGTTTGGAAATTGCATATAAAAGATATACGAAAAATGATGGTTGTTTTCAGCTCTGAGAGAGAGCAATTCAACCCTAAACCATAACTCCTTAGACTTTTCTCCTTTTTTCACCTAAAAGCTTTTATAGGCGAACATTTGACAACTCAAAGCCGCTATTAATTTCATGATCTTCATAAAATTCACCACTTACATCGCATCTTTTGTCTCCCAAAGTTCATAAATTATCTCACAGTGTCAATTATTCTCATCCACCCTTATGAAGTATATTGCTCGCATTCCTGAGCCTAGCTAGCCCAAGGCATTCTTCACATTGCCACCAACTCTTCACGTTCATCAAGCATTGAGTAGTTATTAGGATTGTTCAATCATAGCCATATGGTATTCATCGATTTTGAGTCTTCAGGCCAAGCATTGCAAGTGTGTCTTAATAGCAAAAATGACCATATCAGGTGCAAGTAGATGCGGCCGATGCTCGATGTACAGCATTATCATGAAACTGAGCAAATCTAAACGTTCCAACCAAATCAAGTCATGTCGATGATGACAATTATACGACTATTGTCGAGAAATGTTTTTACTTGCCTTAGGTGTCTCTTTTCTTCCTAAAGGAAGAGGTAAACTCGAATCTTGGATCGATGTATATGGATGGAAAACAAATGGGGAGACACTTAACCTGCCTTTTTTCCTTCTTACCTCTTGTGTGAGCCTTCCACCTTTTTTTGCGATTACGATCTAATTAATCTATTATTCTGTATTGGATTTAGCTCTAATAGATTCTGGTCTTGAGTTATTAGTGCTTTGTCAATTTGCCCGAGGATGAGAAACCGTTTGATACAATATCCCGTAACAACTTCAACTGTGATTATATAGTTTAAATGAGGTATATGTCAAACACTTCACAATTGTAAAATCTTTAAAGTCGCAGCAGCTTCTAATAACTTTTTAGGAAACTACCTCACTCAATTTAGAGATGCTGTAACTTTCAAACATGCACTACAAAACATAAAAATTGTAGCACTTCACAGCACAATTATAATTTAGCTACAATTATATGAAACAGGCTTGAAGTCATTGTTCGTTCCAATGAAGGTCCAAGGGTTCCAAACTAAATTTCTTTTTCTGCTGGCCTGGATGATCCAAATAATCGGATTTAGTCATATTAAGGACCTGTTTGGTTTGGCTTTTGGGAAATGCATTTGGCAAAATGCAAAGGCCTTTGAGCTAAAAGAGTTTTTCGAAATGCAAGTAGTGTTTGGTAATGTGTATTTTAAAAACACATTTAAAAGCAACTTTAACCTAAATACCATTTGATAAAAATTATTTGTAAAAGTTTTTTGCCGATATTTAAAAAAAAAAAAGGCTGACCAACCGACCACCACCGCCGGCCAGATCTGGTCGTCGGCCAACCAACACCAGCCAAATCTGGTCGCCGGCCAGCCTCGCCTGACCTTAGGCGAGGCAGCCTAAGGTTGTGCGACCTCAGGCGAGTCGGCTTGAGGTCGCGCGACCTCGACAACCACCTCCTGGGGTCGCGCAACCTCAGGCGTCGCCTGGGTTGCGCGACCCAGGCGACGCCTGAGGTCCAGTGACCCCAGGCGGCGGTCGCTGGGGCGCTAGCCCTCAGGCGGCGGTAGCTGGGGCGCTAGCCCTCAGGCGGCAGTCACCGGCCACCGGACCAGCTACTTGGGAAGAGAATGAACAATGGCAATGAACAGTACTCGATTGCATTCCGAAAATGCAACTTCTCAAGACTCCTCATGGACTCCGTTCAGCCAAAAGGCCCTTTCCAAGCTTTGGAGATGCAATTGCATCTCCTCAAATCTTGTGAAAAAATTTGTTGAACAACTTTGCATTTGCTCAAGGTACTTTAAACCCCTAAAGCAGCATTCAAATGCTGAATCAAACGGGCCCTAAGTGTTGCAACTAGTTTTAATCATTAATGGACAAAAGGATTGATCTAAATTGGACCCAACATTGGATCTTTGGCATAGGTTCTGTTCGTACACAGTTCCTGCCAATGTTTTGACTCCTCGAGTCAGGAAAAAAAATTTCAGATTGACGGAGTATATACATGAAAGGCCAACCCATCGCCTTTCAATTCCACCTGACAGAATATCTCATGTGTACTTATGGTTGGCTATTTCATATCGATTTGTTCTGAGTCTGACCTATTAGGATGAGGAGAAAAACATCATTCTCTCATTCACAAAATTAGTAAGGTTAATATTATGAAAAATTCTAAACTGATACATTTGTGATAAATTTATCCCAAATTAATTTTTGGACCACGAAAAACTCCAAATCGATATATCCGTGACAAATTTACCAAAAACTAATTTTTTAATGACAAAAAACCCAAACTGTTACACCTATGACAAATTTACCCCAAACTGGTACATTTATGATAAATTTACCATCCGTTAACTTCCATCAAATTTTATCGTTAAATTTGTTGATGTGGATGACACATGGTGACGTGGCAAGTCCACGTGGAAATCCATAAGGTAAATACCACGAAAAACCTCAAATCGGTCTGCTAACGGAGGAAGCGTAAATTTGTCATAAGATTACCAATTTGGGGTAAATTTGTCACATGTGTACCAGTTTGGAGTTTTTTGTGGTCAAAATATTGGTTTTTGGTAAATTTGTCACGATTGTACCAGTTTGGATTTTTCGTTGTTAAAAAATTAGTTTTTGGTAAATTTGTTGCAGATGTACCAGTTTTGGGTTTTTTGTGGTAAAAAATTAGTTTTGGGTAAATTTATCATAAGTATACCAGTTTGGGGTAAATTTGTCACAAGTGTACCAGTTTAGGGTTTTTCGTGATATTAACCCAAATTAGTAATATGTTTTTCTCAAGTCTCTTTGACCAACTTAGTAGTCTATTGTTTCATCATAGTTAAGCAGATTCCGATAATGATCTCATTAAGATATCAGGGCTTATAAGCTTGTGTTAGTATATAAAACTACAATTTACATCGATTCAATACACGTTTGTCGTTCTTGACGTGGGTCTATGTACCAACTTTTCCATGTTAGTCCATGGTAGTGCACCTTGGCGCTTACAAATTGCATACC